GGGTTTCAGCAAGACAAGTTTTTGATACAATGCCATTTTCTTAATGAAGTGAAACAGAATAAAAATGTTTTTTGTTTGATAATAATTTTGGCAATCAGAGTCATCAGGAATGCTGAGAGTAAGGAATAACCATTCTAACATATATGAAACCTTGGGTTAAGGACAATGACTTTATATTAAAAAATGCAAAACTGACTGTCAAGAGCAGCATTTACACACAAAGGGATCTTACAATACATTTTAGAAAAGAGATATAGAGGAAAACATTTTAGTCCATTGGTTTTCACTAACCACTGACAATTGCTTACTCATGTTTCAGGCTCAGGCTGCAAGATGAATGACCCTCCTTTAAAAAAAAAAAAAAAAAAGAGAGAGAGAGAGAAAAAGAAAAGTGGCAAATTGAAGAGAATAGACTCAAGAAACACATAAAGCAAATCAGTGCCATTATCTTATTGAAACGCTATATCTAAATACTTGAAAAATCCTTAGAATGTACTGAACAATCTACTAGACTTTATTACACATGTAAAAAAGGGGATTTAAATCTAAGTGATTGACAAACTGGTTATTGGATATGCTTAATGAATTACCAGCACTTATTTATTCTTTAATTCATTTATTCTATACCTATTTGTTCATTCATTCACTCAATTTTTGGTTCCCGAATCTTCCCAGGCAAAGTTAGCAAGTTTAATTGCTATTACTCATGACCTCATCATAAATCTTTTGTGGTATATGTCAGTGTGATTCCCTGACATGTGTAGAAGCTTAGCGTATGCTTAGACATCATAGATTTCTCTGTCTCAGAGTTTCAAAACCTATTGAGGGTTGGAGGATGAGTATTATCCTTTGGAAATGGACCAACATTGACTTTGGAAGGAGAGGATTTGCTGACTACTTGGGGTGTTATAGTATCTAGCGTTTATTTGCAGAGAGCTGTCTTCCCTTTCTTCTTTTGTTGTCTAAATGCCCTTTAGGCAGTGCAGGTTCCACTCATTCTTCTAAAATGCACACTTAACCTTCAGTGCTGGGTGTTGTGAGATGTGCGTTATGGCCGAGCATTAGCTGGCATGTACAGGGATGCCTGTTGGAGAAGGTGGTCCCATGTTCCTTATTCCTGGATAGCTGGATGGGAGCAGGAGCACATCCTGTCTCAGGCAGAGTGCCTGGCTCCTCACTCTACACACCAAGTAGGACAGTTTTTCCTTTCCAAGTCATCTTTTGTTTGCTTAGTCCCTCTAATTGTCTCCTTCCTTAAATAAATCCAGTATCATGTTACAGTATTTCGTGACACTTTCTCATTGTCCAAGTTATTTTTCTTCTTATCGGAATGAAAAATTAAGACAGTATTATTTTGGATAGTATAAGCAAAAAGCATGCCAGGCTTAGCAATTTATTGATAATATCAAAGGTATCTACACAGTTTTGGTATCTATAGATTTCCTTTAAATGATTCATGATGTAATGCAAATAAACCCGAAGTTATTGACATAAAGTATTTTAGATGCTTATTGCTTATAAACATCCCACATATTAAAAATTAAATATTAAAAGCTACTATTTAAATATGGAAATTAAAGAGATATGTCACTTGAGAAGGCTGGGATTTCACAAGCGGACAGCATCATTTGGGTTCATCTCATTCTCAAGGAATTGATAGCAATGGTGGTGATAATTATTATGGTACTAAAGGTCTGGTGCATGAATTCCTGCATGGGTGGGATCCTTAGGCCTGGCTAATGATCAGGACTGATCAGGGCCAGGTCGAATGGGGCCTGCTGGCAGCGGGGAGGGACCATAGGCCAATCAGGGCCTGCCAGCTGAGGGGAGGGATGGGGTGCAGAAGGTTGGCCACCAGCCCCAAGGAGGGAGCCCGCCATTAGTGGCCCTGGGAAAGGGGCCACATCTGCTGCCACTCATCCCCAATTCCCAGACCAAGCCTGGGGCCCAAAGACCCTGGTGGGGTCGGGAGAGGTAGCGATGGTCGCCGGGATTGGCGCAGAAGGAATGGGCGATGGACGCTGATGCCTGGCCGTGGGAGGTCCACTGTGGGAGTGCACTGACCCCCGGGGGCAGCTCCTGCATTGTCTGCCCCCTGGTGGTCAGTGCGTATCATATTGACTGATAGACCAGTTGTTCCAGTCGTTTTGGTTGTTTGATGATAACAGTTGCTTAGGCTTTTATAAATATAGATAATTACAATAATAACAATATTAGCACTACCCTTTATTGAATCTTCATTGTGTTCCTGGCCCTGTATTGAGTGCTTCCTGCATTGCCTCAGGTAATCCCTATAATAAATGTAGGAACTAAGTGCTATTTGCCTTCACTTTACAGATAAGATAGAATAAGTAACTTCCTGAAGATGGCACAGCTGGTGGCAAAGCCTAGATTCTGTCCTGGGCTAGAACTCCAAGGTCAATGTTCTCAATGATTGAAATTGATAGGCTCCCGAATAACAAAGCATTAAAACCTTTAAGGAGCTTTACTCGACGTACACTTTTAACTTCACAGGCCAATCTTCCTCCAGCCACATCCTATGTTTCTCTAACCCCCAATCTGTTTTGTGTTTCCTTGCCTTTGTATGTGCCATTTTTTATGCCAAAGCTTAAAATATTATTGGCATCTTCACTCTACCAATCCTACCTGAAAAACTTTAAAAGTTTACTCTTCCTTCAACATGTTGCTCAAACACCATCCCCTTTATGAAGCATTCCTTGAAGATTCTGGCACAGGTAATTTTCCGTCATTAGAAAATGCACAACATTATATATATATATATATATATATATATATATATATATATATATATATATATATAATGTTGTGCATTTTCTAATGACGGAAATATATATACTGTATTAGCATGTATATATATATATACTGTATTAGCATGATACTTTTGATGTCATTATTTGTGTCTGTGCCTATTGCCTAGACAAGACTGAACACCCGAGAATAAAGACAGGGACTTTCACCTTTGCATCCTCAGTCCTAACGTAATGTCTGCCATGGAGAGGCTATGCCATGCATATTTATTGTAGCAATGACATCAGGTTTGGGGATAAATGGAAAGAATCAAGAAAAGGAGTTAGGATTTGAGGTAGGCATTGAAAACTTTCAAAATATTTCCTGAATTTTAAAAATGTCATTTTGGGGTATTCCGTGTATTAACAATGCCCCCCGTGCAGTGCTTTGAGAACAGTGAAGACTTAGTTAGCATGTTAATTATCTGATTTTTTAACAGTATCCTACTAATGTCTCCTTGATTTCAGAAAAGTACCACTCTGATTCTTCAGTGCTATGTGGTATCAAATACTTCACTTTTCACATAGTTCGTATGTTTAATTTCTTCTGGACATGTTTAAAAAATATAAGTAAGTACACCTTTGATCCACAACCCTGAGCATCTCACTGCTGTTCAGCATAACTCTCCCTGGCCAGATCACTGAGTCAGACGGTCAAAGTAATACTTGTGCACCAGCCCACTCCAAATGATATCTGTTTCTGTTTACCAGCGATAGCTAAGCTGTTAGGTATCTTGGTGGATTTCGTATCTGAGTTATTTAAACGAAATTAATGATACTTTCTGGGATATTCCATTCTTATCTAAACCATTGCACGTTTCCACATAAGTATATCATTTAAAATACAGGCGAAAAACCACTGATGACAACAAAGAAACTATAAATTACTGAAATGCAGAACCCAGTGCAGGAAAAGAAATCTTTACTGCTACAGTGTGCTTCAAGGACAGTTATCCCCTTCATCCTAAATCGTCATATTTACTTACATAAATCTTTTTTAGTTTGGTAACATGTCATGGTTGGGAGCCAGGGAAATCGTCATTGGAAGCGTCAAAGGTTTTTTTGTTTGTTTGTTTTTGTTTTGTTTATTTGTTGTTGTTGTTTTTCACAAGAAGGAGAGCTCTGGGAAGAAGCCTCTGTGTGTGTAGATTTCCAATTTGGAAATCCCTGCGTGGTAAGGAAGGTGTTGGCTAAAAATGAGGAGGTCATGTAGTACCTACAGGAACACCGTTCAGTGGAACAGGGTAGCCTCTGAGATGCAGCCATGTGATTAGACATAGACATGATTATGTGTGGGGTAGGAAGGCCGTTTTTGGAAGGGAGGACTGGCTTGCTTCATCCTGTCCAAAACTGAAGGGTCGCTCCCACCCCTTAGGACTTTTATGCTGGGCTCTCAGCTTGTAGTCACCGGGTCCACTTCCTCCAAGCCAAGTCAGATTTTTCCAAAGGAAGGCAACTTCTTTTCATGGCAGACCCTCAGACTCACGCCCTTTTTCACAGCCCTGCCTTTCTCCGCCCCTGAACCAGGGTAGGCAGCGCAGGAGCTGTCGAGAAGAGAGGTTCCCATGGGGTGGTGGGGACGACCCCCTTTGCGAACTGCATCTGCAGCTGCCATATCGTAGCCAACAAGCACCAGATTTATATGCACTTTGAAAGAAGCCCCTTCACCATTGGCTTTTTGAGCTGCGCTGTCGCTAGGGAGCGGCGGGCAGGGCGAGCTCAGGCTGGGGAGAAGCTGGGGCTGTTTGTGCTGTAACCTGGGAGGGGGGCGCGCGCATCCTGCATCCTGCACACGAGGTGCAGCCCTGGCCCCCCAGCCGCCAAAGGCGCCCCCAGGTGCCCCTCTGGGCAGAGCAGCAGCTCCCCGCCAGCCTCAGCCCCCTGGTCCCCGCTGCTGCCGCCCAGAGGAGGAAGGCTCCGCTGCTCCAATTCCCGGGGCGGGCTCCGCAGCCCGAGCCTGGGGGGCGGTGCAGCCTGAGCGCTGAGCGCGCAGTGAATGAGTTCCCCGCGTCTCCGAGTTGCCTGAGTTGGCGGCGCTGGGCGGGTAACCGGGCAGCCCTCTGAGCCCCATTCCCTTACCCGCGGCCGGGCCAGACCTGCACGCCGGGGAGCCCGGGCTCCTGAGCTCCTGTCCCAGCCCCAGGCAGAGGCGCGATCAGCCCGCACGCACCCTGCGTGGCTTCTGCTGTCTCCATGGCGTCCTATCAGCAATCCCGCATCCAGGCTTACCTGGAGAAGAACAAGATCGGTCCCCTGTTTGAGGTAAGGCTCTGCGGAGGGAGGGGTGCCCTGCCGGAAGCAGAGCACCTGGAGGGGAGGGGAGGGGCGCCCCTGTGGCTGCAGGTCGCTGCCCTCCCTGCCTCTGGGCCAGGGGTCCTGGAACCCGGCGGGCTGGCACGCCCCTGCTTACCTGGGCGCAGACAGGTGAGCGCGCAGGGCCCAGCCTCAGCCTGGCAGGGAAGTTTGAGCATCTGACTGTCCAGCACTCCAAGTCACACCCAAGACCCCGACAGATAGAGGGAGGACACACACACACACACACACACACACACGCACATGCATGCATACACACACATACACACTTTCTGGAATTCATGCTGTTTCGCATACTGAATTTTTAAACATGTGGGCAGTAGTAGAACCGGGAAAGGTGGAGGAGGTGCTTGGCAGGGGAAGGAACACGGTTAACAGGGAGGAGAAGGTGAGATCTGGTAAGGAGTGGGCTTGGGCAGGTGCGGGCATGTTGAATGAAATTGTCAAAGGGAGCGGCGGCCATTGGGGTCTGGATGAGAGGGGAGCCGGCCAGGCCCTCCCTGGATGAGGGGGAGAGAGGGGCGGAGAAAGGTTCAGGGAGAGCACACACTGCATTTATGGGAAGGAGACCTGGCTCTGTGCTGTGTGCTCTTGCCAACAATGTTGGTGACAAAAATTTGGTAGAAGCAAGGAAGAGGGGAGGACTCAAGCAAATGAGAATGGGAGAGGGAAACCCTGAGCGGGCTAAGGGTCCCACGGGTTGCCAGGGGGCTGGGCAGATGTGGAGGTAGGAGGGAGGGAGGCCACTGCCCCTTCTCCTCCCCGCTGAACTTTTCGCTAGGCACCTGCAGGCATCCAGGGTTTGTGGGAGGGTCCAGATACTCTTGCTTACCCTCACAAAAAGCAGTTGTGGCCATTCTTTAGGATTACATGTCCCTGGCCTCTGATTGGGGCTGAAGTGCAGCAGTGGGGAGAGGTACCAAGAATGGAGTAGCTTTTCTAGGACTTAAGAGAGTGAGAACAGCGGAGAAAACAGTGATTCAAACTGATGCCTCCTCACAAAAAGGGAGCCAGGGACAAGGGCTTGCCATCAGATGGGTCTTCTCTCTGGGGAGGAGCCATTTGAAAGAACCAGGATTGCACGATCTCTTGGTTTTCTGTCCATCCTTCATGTGCTGTCTTGAAAGACTGGCCATAGTTTCTGGAGAAACTCACGTTGTGAGGTCACAACGTCCTACACTGTGTGAATTGATTCTTATTTCTCTAAAAGGGTTAGCAAATGAGGTCTAAATCCAAAAGCAAAGTAGAATTGCTGGAGCTACTAGATTCCTTTTACCTTTAGTGAAATAGAGATTATAGGCAAGGCATATGCATATTTTTAAAAAAACAGGAGCATCATAACCCTTTGTGGCACGTTGTTCCAATTACATCAAAAGAAAGATAAAGTAATTATATTTAGAGTGTTTCTACTCTCTTGGAATATGTACAGTTTACTTGGGTTGTTTTTTAAATAGTTGCTCTTCTCAACGTATTGTAAAATTCTCAAGAATTTCTCCAAGTGACAATAGAGCTTGGAATTTCTAATATCTTATCATTTGAGAAGCTTATAAAGTGTTGCACACAATATGGTTTTTCAAAAACTATTTTAATTAAAATGAATATTGTTTCCAGGTGATTTAGTAGTGTAAGTTTATGCTACCTTTAAATATGATTGAAGATGTTTTGAGGCATTATAAAACTATATCTAGAAATCATTGCATTAGAGTCTTGGATAATGATATTTTAATCAAATAATATGAAGATTTAAGATGAAAATGGTAGTGATGACTTACATTCCATAACTGTTTTATATTTTTGTAAGATGTAACACTTTCAGTATTCTGTTGATTTATTCAGGGCTGGCAGGTAGGGAAGCCTGGGCATTGATCAATAAGGAATGCTTGACACCACTTCAATAAATAACCACTAAAATTTCATTTACCATGGATTTCTACACATAGTTCCTTAATTGTGACATGGTTTGTCTCCCACCAAAGGGGAGTATTTTTGCAACACACATAGAGAAAAAGCATAATGTAAACACAAGACTTATCTCAAACCCTAAGGCCAACCACTTAACCATCGAAGAATTTGGCAGTCAGAAATTCTGAAACTGAATAATTAACTGGCATATTGCTTCTTATTGGGATCAAGAGATTTATTTTGTTGATATTATAAGCAGCTTAACTTCATTTCCGGGAGATTATATGCCCTGGAACATAACAGTAAATTTATTTTCAACATAGAGAAGGATACATCGCTGTTAAAATAGAATAATTACTTGGAAATTATTGGTTGTAAGCTGCTCAGGGCAGTCATATATCTTGGTTCAGGCTCGAGCATACTCATAAGAGTGTAAATTTCTAAACTACTAAAAAGCAGAATAAAAGGTCCTTTATAAAATCTCCATGGAATTTTAACTCTCTGTGTATTGAAGATGTGGTCAACCAAATTCATTGTATTTCTCCAAATGCAATCTGATTCGCTCCAACTAAAATCACCTTCTTTATTTAGCTCAAAGAACCCCTATTTACATGGCTCCGAATTTGTGCTGATTGATTTGGCAGGTGTTATGAGATGGACTCATGTCCAATGTATGGTCACCCATAGCCTGCGTCAGTCACACACTTGCTGCTGCACAAGTGACGTTTTCCAGGTGCCCTGTCCCACACCTTCCAACCACATCAGCAACCCTGAAATCTGATTGGCCTGGAGAGTGTCAGGTAGTCACCTGGCAGGATCAGGAGATTTGTTACTTACGAGGTAGGGGAGTGTTGAGAAAATAATTAAATATATTGAACACAATGTGAGCAAACTATCACACTGATGGAGATGGGCGTCACAAATATAAAAAGGAAAAAAGGTAGAATGGACCTTGTAGTGCTGGAATGAAATTGGGGGTATTAATGTGCCTCATGACTTTCAATAATAAAATAGATATAGATGTAATAAAAATAAGTATAGATTTGTGTGTATTAATAAACTAGTATATATAATAGATGTAATAAAATAAGTATAGATTTGTGTGTATTAATAAACTAGTATATATAATAGATGTAATAAAATAAGTATAGATTTGTGTGTATTAACAAATGAGTATATATATATATATATATATATGCATACATTTATTTCCTCACTCTGCCTTACTGTGAAGGCCTGGGAATATCAACATCCCAGTAGCAATGAGCACACGTAGTGACCAGATTTTGGATTATAAATATCATTCTCTGTTAGTGGAACAAGGTATCTTTAGAGAAATGGTTGATTCCAGCTTTGGAGCTGAGAAAGTACAAGATGAACCTGGAAAATCTTATGCCAGAAAATAAGGAAGTGGCCAAAGAAAAATAGGTACATGTCAGAAGAATATAGAAGGCAGCTTTAAGAAGCCCTTATTAACTAAATCTTGGACATCCTAAGAATCAAAACAATAAAAAAATGATGGTAACATTATCTTGCTGTATAAAATAGTATTTTATTGCACAGGGACAATAATGAGATCCATGAATGTATTCAATTTGTAGGGAGATGAGAATGCTTAATCATATAGTAGAATGCCAATTAATGAAAATAGAAGGGATGATGGAGTTAGAAAATCACTACTTGGCAACCATCTTCTTAGTAATTCAGGCAAGAAACATGAATTGATGCTAAAACAAATGGGTGAAAAGTGGACGAGGAATGAGATGTTACATTATCTCTAGTGTCTTTTCACAGGATAGTTTTAATTACAAAGGAAAAAAGTAGCTTTATAGTGAAGGAACCTGGCAGACACTACTTTAGATAATCAAACCGAGCGATATCCTATGCCTCCTGGTAGGATGCAGGTAAAACAATGTGGTATTGCTTCTGTAGTATTTCTGCCAGTCACGCAGGACTTGAATTGAGTAATGGGAAACATATCTGATAAACTCGTTGGGGGAATTCTGTTTTCCTGGGGTCTTCAAAAATGTGAAGGTGGTGAAAGTCAACAGAAGTCTCAGTCTGAAAAGACGTGTTAAGTAAATACCAAATAAGAAAGAAAACGGGAAAATTTCCAAAGCATTGGGAAAATAGGCAACACTCTCCTAAGGAATCTACTGGTCAGAGAAGAAATCTCAGGGAAATTTAGAAAATACATTGAATATCAAAAAGAACGATATGACATATGGAAATATGTGAGACACAGCTCAAGCAGTGCTGAGAGGGAATTTTTCAGCACGAAGGGGCATATGCTACAAAAGTGACCTGTTGTGACTGGTCTGAATGGGGGCCCTGCCCTGCTTTCTCTACTTTTCTCTGTGCCCTCCCTCTGGCGAAGGACAGGCTGAAAGATGTATTGAGGTAATCTGCTGACAGTAGGTGTTTGTTCATATGTTATATCATGTCTTGTATCTAAAGGCAGATCTGAAGCTCCTGAAGGTTATAAAGCTCAGTATGTATCTGTGGAATTAAACAGAGCATTGACTTGTATATATTTTTTTTCTTTCTATGGGGAAAAAACACATTGAAGCTAGAGCCAGCTAGAAAATAGCATAGTTTTAAAAAAATTCTCACCCAAGGTTATGTTTATTGATTTTTGAGAGAGGAAAAAAGAGAGAGAAGAAACATTGATGTGAGAGAGAACATCAATTGGTTGCATTCCGTATGTGCCCTATCTGGGAGTCAAGCCTGCAACCTTTTGGTATACCAGATGATGCCTTAGCCAACTGAACTGCACTGGCCAGGACAGCATCTTCATACCTATTTTTTTAAATAGAGAGCAAAACATCCTCCATTCTATTAATTAGCCTTTATGAACAGTGAATAACTTTTAATTATGTACTTATGTGAGTTAACCTAATTCCCTTTCAGCCATATTTTTCTCGTTGTAATATCTGCTTTCTGGAGAGGGCTTGATAAATTAATCACACCGCTATGCAAGGCTTACTGCCTAACTCCCCCAAATTCATTTGCATTTAATACAGAGGAAGATGCATGGCACAGCTACA